GCGCGCCTTTAAAGGTGGGGAAGTAAATATATTTTGATTGTTCGGTTTAAGTACTGTTCAAGAGGATGAATATATAAAAATCTTTTATTTCGTAAGAAATATTAGGTTGAGCTATCTCTTACTTAATTATCATATGATAAATAAGGACTAGTTTTTTTTATAGGCTAGTTTATATTTATTATATGATAATTAATTTAGTTAAGGACGTAGGTTTTATTAAAACCCTTTAGAGAGTGTTACGAGCCTTTAAAGGTAGATGTGTAATAAAAATATTTTGATCTTTTCCTGTATTGATCAAAATATCCTCATTATATTTATTACGAATATTTTGTAGGTTATGTCTTAATTAATCAATATATAAATGTATATATATGATGTGTTTATTTTTATAGCATGTTGTATATATACTATTATAGAGGTGATTAATAAAAATATAGTACAAGTGGAGGTAGGTCGGCAAATAGAAACGACATAATTATTTTAATAATTATCGAAATCCTTATATAGGCTGTGGACGTGCCAATAAAGGTGGGGTGCATTACATATATTTATATAAAGGATATAAATATATCTAGTTTGTTAAATTAAATGAATAATATAAAATTTGTTTTTTTTTTTTAACAAATCTAGGATGTGCTTTAAGGTTGATTTATTATCTTTACAATAATACATATATATTTACATATATATATATATATATATATATATGTATAATGATGTGGTGAAAACTTATCATTAACATATTTTATGTATATTGCAATTATAGAGTGATTTTCTATAATATAAAGAACATCAACTGTATAAGAAATGACGTTCTCCCTTTGACGTATAAAAATCCTCGTGGTATAACGCGCCAAGAGAGGTGGAGAATAACTACATTTGAGTTTTTATTATGAAGGAAAATAAACGTTTCTCATATAAAAGCACACATATATATATGTATATAGTTAGTAGTCTTTTTATCAAATTGTATGTTATTCTTCGAGTTGTTTGCGAATATAAATAATTTATTTTAATTTTTTTTTTTTTTTTTTTTTTTTCTTTTTAAATATACATGTACGAATATTGAGGACATAAAAATATACTATATTTTTAGTATATTTTTATGTGAACATTCAATTAGTAGTATTGAAAATAAAAGAAAAAAAAAAAAAAAAAAAAAAATTAAAATAAATTATATATTAGTAGTATTCAACAAGAAGTCGGTATGTTCAATAAATGAATACTTTTAGAGGTTTAACGTATGCCTTGAAATGTTTATATATATATATATATATATCAAAATAAATATATAATTTTATGATTTTATATTTATTTTGTGTATATTTTATATGTAAATATTTATTTGCGAATATATATATTATTTACCTGCGAATATTGATAGCATGTTATTATTTGTTATTTGTTCAGAAAATTATATAGTTAATTATCGGAAAAAATAGCAGATAATATTATGCTAATATAACAGTTAGTAGGAGTGTAACATAATATATATTAGTAGTAGTAAAGAATATTCGGTAATGATGGTATAATTTCTTATAGTTCGTAATATGTACGGCTTAAGAATGGAAGAGTAAAAAAATATATGATACTTTTTCTGTTTTGATCGGAACATCATATTATATATGATCCACTATATTATATTTCATTAAATATAAGTAGTAGGATAGCTCTTCTGACCACATTTAAAATCGTTTATGATATTGAACATAGCATTAGAAAAAGAAAACCCAGTTTGTTTTTCTTTTGCAACATATATACTAATATGGTATGGTATATATGAAAGTCATGTAGTTGGTTAACTAAAGGGATGTAGGATATATGTAGGAGTATAATAATAGTGAGATTATTTATGCATATATATATGTGTGTGGATGGTACTATGGCGGATATAACCGGTACTAAATAATCATGAAAAAGACTACGTATATATAATATCATTGTTTTTTGCAATGATATTATATATAAAAGGAACCTTATATATGTATTCGTTAAGGATGCATATATGAGGTGGGGAAATATAATTTGGTGGGTAAGAACGAATGGGGGTACGGGTAGATGGGTACAGGTACATGTGTACAGGCACATTACCGACACATGGGTACATGCACATGGGTACAGGCGCGTGGGTACAGGCGCATGGGTACAGATAAGGGCTACAGAAGGGCTACAGAAAAAGATCTAAAGGATGAATATGGAAAAGGGCTACAGAAGGGCTACAGAAAAAGATCTAATGTATGAATATGGAAAAGGGCTACAGAAGGGCTACAGAAAAAATCTAATGTATGAAATGGAAAAGGGCTACAGAAGGGCTACAGAAAAAATCTAATGTATGAATATGGAAAAGGGCTACATAAAAAATGTGCAAAACTGATACAGAAAACGGCACAGGAGCAGCCAAATATGCACATAGGAAAACACAGAAAAAGATTCAAAAATTCTAAAGTACGTTTTTAATATCAGTTGGTACTTTAGATAAATGTCTTACTATGGGTATGGAATAAATTGTAATTTTAATTATAATTTATTTGTGTTTTTTATTATATAGATACATGTAACAATGAATTAAATATATTTGTTTGTTTATTACATGTGCATATATATAAAAGGAATAAACTGCATTTTTGTTTTTTTTTTTTTTTTTTGTGTTTAATTAATTACTTGAATTTTTTACATGAATAAATATATAATATGGATATTTACTATTAAGTATAATATTCCATATTATTTCTAAGTTTTGTCTTAGATAACATTTGTTTTTAATTTAGGTGTTTAGGATTTAAAAGGATTTAACTATATTATCATAATTATAGTTATTCTTTGGAAGTTTGACCATTCAGAACGTGTATATAACAATCCTTTTGTTATAAGAAGACAGGATTGTTTTTATAATCCCATATGTATGAGATAATGTAGGTAAAAGCATTTTATAATTCTTATTATAATAATGAAAAAAAAAAAAGAAAAAAAAAAAAAAAAAAAGAAAAAAAAAAAAAAAAAAAAAAAAAAAAAGAAAAAAAAAAAAAAAAAAAAAAGAAAAAAAGAAAAAAAAAAAAAAAAAAAATAAAAAAATAAAAAAGAAAAAATAAAAAATAAAAAAAAAAAAAAAAATAAAAAAGAAAAAGAAAAAAAAAAAAAAAAAAAAAAGAAAAAAAAAAAAAAAAAAAAAAAAGAAAAAAAAAAGAAAAAAAAAATAAAAAAAAAAAAAAAAAAAAAAAAAAGAAAAATAAAAAGTAAAAAGTAAAA